CAAATAAAACACTTCCTTTGCAAAAAAGCTTACTATAAAATTGAAGAATTCGTTAACGATAATAATGTTTTTGTAGAAAAATTTTAAATACATAGCACTGACAATATTATCTGATTACACTAATAATGAGTGCGTAGCGATTTCTATGTTGATTGTCGCATGCCTCTTACTTGTTACACTGTAATTATTTATATAAAAAAAAACATCTATTAAAAAGAGCAAAACAAGTTTCTTGCTCATTCTTCTTGTGATGAATCTGCATTCCGAATGAGTGGTAGAATCAAAATATGACTATTCAAAAGTGCTTGTAATGAGTTTATTTGAATAAAGATTATTTCTATTTCTATTTCATTAACACTCACCTTCACTACTTGCAGCTTCCCCCCAGGCCCAACTAAGACCGGGATAAACTCATCCCAAATACAATTCACTTTAGTATCCAAAACACAACCGGTACGCTGTTTAGCTTGGAACTATATGGCGCTGTGTCAATTGTCCAGGGATGTAAAAAACTCAGGAACCACTGCACGATTCCAGATTCTTTCTCTTATCAAAGGTCCGCATCGACGATTGATTATTAGACTTAATGTAAGTCTTTAATAGATAAATAAATAGCAAATATCAGATTTGATTTAATTTGACAGTAGGTAGATTCATACAGTCGCATTGGTTTGACGACCTCGGTGGTCTAGCGGTCTAGCCTATGGCTTTACGAGCGGTAGTCGCGGGTTTGATTCCTCGCACAAACATTTGAACACTCGATATTTAGGTGTTAAGTATGGATTTAGATAAGTGAATTTCGAGACACCACTGCTGTGCTATGTTTTGGTCTCTGTTGAGAATATTGTTTGTATTGTCGAGGTGTGGGTTCAATTCTTGACTGCCTCGGTGGTCTAGCGGTCTAGCACACCGCTTTACGACCGATAGTCGCGGGTTCGATTCCTCGCACAAACATTTGTATTCATGAGTATGATTGTTTTGTATCGGTCTAGGTGTTTTCTATATATAATATGTATGTATTTACGAAAAAAAGCATCAATGTATTTCTATCAGTTATCTAGTATCCATAACACAAGCTTTAGATAGCTTAAATTGGGTCTAGATGGTACTGTGTGAATTGTCCTGAGATTTTTTTTTTCTTCTCAGCTTTCGTTCTCAGCTTTCATTTTGGTATGTACGGGCCTAAGCCTACATACAGCGGTCTGTCCCTATGTATGCTTAAATCTTTAAAACTACGCAACAGATTTTAAAACAGTTTTTATTTATGGATAGAGTGATTCAAGAGGAAGGTTTATATAGATATATATAATACATGTACACCCGTGCGAAGCCGGGGCGAGTAGCTAGTTAATATTATCAACGCGCAAGTTTGTTAGTATGGATGGATGTTTGTTACTCTTTCACGCAAATACTACGGAACTAATTTTTATGAAACTTTACAGTAATATAGCCTATACATCAGAATAACATATAGCCAATATATTTCTCGAGAGTGAAACCGCGGGCACAGCTAGCAATTAATTACTCTGAACAATACATACAGTGCCTTCTAGTCAGGGTTTTAAAAAATTATTAAAAAAAATCCTTTTTGTGGAATAATGGAATGTGGTATTCTCTATGGTAACTGTTGATGATGGTGAGGTATCAGTGTAGGATGATAAGATGAACATCGTGACAAATTCACCAGGAATTTGTTGCGATGGTTACCAGAGGGAACCGCGTGGAAGTCAACCTGGCCATTCAACATTGCCATGCCAACCACCAGTCCACATTGACTCCATGCATGGAGTCAAAAATCCTTATTGCTAACAATGCCCATCCTCGCAGAACTTATAGCGAGTACTAAATAATTGATGGCAATACTGAAATACATTTCTTTTTGTAAATACATACATAATATAATATTTATAGAAAACACCCAACCCAATACAGACCAAACAGTAAATACTCATGAATACAAATGTTTTAACGGAACGAGGAATCGAACCTGCGACCATTGGAAGTAAGATTGTATGCTAAACTGCTACACCACCGCGGCTATCTCTTTACGACTACTTCCAATGCGCCACCTACAGGTTTCTTAATTAATTAAATAATAGATAACAAAGTAATGATGTTTTATTTATTGTTGTTGTTGCTGTTATCAATAGATGGCGTTTGAAAGTCACATACGGACAAAGCCGCAGGCACTACTAGTACGAATTCTAAATCTACGTATATTTACGAAGAGGAGAGAAATTATGAGGACGAAAATTTTTTTCTCTTGTATGGTAAGTTTTTATATCTTTTGTATGGTAAAATATCTCTTTTGTATGGTAAATTTTTATCTCTTTTGTATGGTAAATTTTTATATCTTTTGTATGGTAAATTATATCTCTTTTGTATGGTAATTTTGTTCTCTCTTTTGTATGGTCAATTTTTATCTCTTTCGTATGGTAATTTTTATCTCTTTTGTATGGCAAATTTTTATCTCTTTTGTATGGTAATTTTTTCTCTATTTTGTATGGTCAATTTTTAGCTCTTTTGTATGGTAAATTTTTATCTCTTTTGTATGGTAAATTTTTGTCTCTTCTGTATGGTAAATTTTTATCTCTTTAGTATGGCAAATTTTTATCTCTTTTGTATGGTAAATTTTTATCTCTTTTGTATGGTAAATTTTTAACTCTTTTGTATTTTCATCTCCACATAATTTTTATGTTGTTATATGACTATCAATAAAGTAACAAGCCAGTATGAGTACAAATGCACTGCAGTTATCTTTACGGCGTCTGTATATAAAGGACAGGAGGCAAGAGTAATGGGGTTCGATTCCGCTGCAATAGTGTATTGTGAACGTTAGTATAGGAGACGCACGGTCGTATATTTGATATATGCTACAAATCGAGCCGGGGGACCTTTCTGTCTGTCTGCTTTGTGATTTATAATCATTGTGTAAAGATATAAAGGAGCAAACATTTCGATTTATTATTTAAATTGAAATTCTGTTTGAATTAAATTAATTATTTTTGATTCATCGTAATGTTAATGTAGACAAGTGTTAAGGAGTGATCTGAGTAGCAATTGTGGAAGGTAATCAAATCAAATCAAAAATCATCTTCTCGTGTAGCACATTTTAGCCGCTTATTGACGTAATTTTTTTTATATTAAAGGACAACTCATACAGCGCCTTCTAGTCCCAAGTTAAGCAGAGCTTGTGTTAGTACTAGTCAACTGATATAAATACATAGACACTTTTTTGTATACATATATAATATACATAGAAAACACCCAGACCGATACAAACAATCATACTAATGAAATATTTGTGCCGTGCGAGGAATCGAACCCGCGACCATCGGATCTAAAGCGGTGTGCTAGACCGCTAGACCACCGAGGTCGTCAAATTATATAATTAACTAGCTTTTGCTCGCGGCTTCACTCCCATTAATTTATCCCTTAGAGGTGGAATTTATAAAAATCTTGTCTTAGGGAATGCCTACGTCATAGTAGCTTTATGCAAGCAAAGTCACAGCGATCGGTTTAAAATTGACGAAATTTCTTATAAACTTTCATCCCCTATTTTATTCCTTTGGGGGTAGAATTAATCAAAATCCTTTCTTGGCGGATGCCTACGTCATAACATCTACCTGCATGGCAAATGCTAATCCTTGGATTGGGCTGTGCGTTGATAGATCACTACGTCAGTCACCTTTGAGTTATATATATTTAGATATTTTAATTATCTATTATGTATTTGTTGACGTCATAAGATACAGTAGCATAACAACTTTAATAGCTATATACGTGACATATTAACAGACAATTTAACTGTCAAATGCGTATCGGGGTTATCAGCGACTGATCGTAGTCACGTATTATTCGATACTACACGATCTGATAACAATACATTAATATCATTACTTGCAGGTTAATTCTATTACTTCATAATCTATTGGAGATTACTGTCGCTAAGGGTTTTGGCCCAGATGGTATTTTTAAATGGATGGTATGACTGCAGCGGGAACACAACAGTAATTAAATAAAAATTAGTAAATGAAAGAAAAAAAAATGGGGAAAGGTGATTGTTAGTAATGTGGATTGATAACCCTATTGCTAGCAATGTACCATGTTAGGTTGACCTCCACGCGGCTCCCCCTGGAAACCAACGTGACAAATTCCTGGTTGTCACGATGGGCTAACTAATCTGACCTCATGCTCATCTCATCATGTTCCACTGCTAAACCACCAATGCTGTCAAATAACATTTGTGTAATTAATACTGTCTAATTAAAACTGATTACATTTTTGGCATCAGTATCGATCACTAATCACCCCCTGATCATTATTTTGGAAATATATTTTATGTACAGAATTGACCTCTCTACAGATTTATTATAAGTATATCTAAATACTGATGATGAAGTTGTCGGCAACAGATGGTAACGGTACACTTTTTTTTACCTGACGAAATTCCTCATGGAGACCTGTCCACCCCGTAGAAGTAATTGGGTGAGGACTGGCTGTTACTGGTTAAAATCCCTCGTGTTTCTTCCACTTGTTTTTGGTGGCAAGGTCTAGCAACGCGGTTCATAGAGCGTGCGAGGCTACCACGAACGAGCTTATTTCTATTTCTTATTTTGAATAAAGCTTATTTCTATTTCTTTTATCTGTTGCAATTGGTAACATATTCCACCTATTACTATTAATTTAGACTAGCTCTACGGACGACTTCGTCCGCGTGGAATTTAACTTATTTTTCTAAAATAAAAGTAGCCTAAGTTACTCCTTATTACATCAGCTACCTCCCAAAACAATCCCGTCAAAATCAGTCCAGCCATTTCAGAGATTACCCTGAACAAATAGACAGACAATCAGGTAGACAAAATGTGTATAACACCGTATTTATATTCATATGCATGTAGAAAAAACCGATTATTTCAATGTTACAAACAGACACTCCAATTTTGTTTATATGTGTAGATTAATAAATTAGTACAAGTACATACCTATTTCTGCCGTCCTTACGCTGCCGCAACGTCGTCCACTAACAGCTTCTCTGTATTTCGGTGGCTGGTTCTATTCGTAGAACTTGCCATGGTCTGGAGGACATGGCATGGCATGGCATAAAAGCCATAGATCCATGTGTCCATGGAAAGGCACCTAAATTTGTATCGATAGCTTTGGCTTGCCAATCCATATAAGTACAACATCTTCTCTATACATCTTTGATCCTTCTGTGCTTCTTTGAAAATGATGTGAAACACATTTGTTTCAAATTCTATTTCCAACTAAAATTATTTCACATTTATCACTAACACATACACCACAATAGTAATCCATATTTTCAAACCCTATTCACTGAACAACAAATCAAATTTGGTTGTAGACACTGCACTCCAACACATTCCAATAATTAACTGCAATCCAAATTTCCAATGTATAAATCAAAAGATATGAAAAGTCGTAGATGGAGTATCTATCTATGACTTTTGAGAAGCTTTTGATACTGTTACAGTACCGATGCTCCGTCTAGGGTCACTACACAAACTAAAAACGAAATAATATCTAAAACCTAAACAGAACCAAATAAACAGCTTTGATTTAGATTAATTGACAATTGTCACGTTTATAGATAAATAACGATACGATATTAATACGATAAATTGATTGTATTAACGATTAATAGAAAACCGGTAGCTGTAAATGTTAATGAAAAAACGGAATTACAATTTTAAGATACATTTTGTAAAAACGCCGATTACAATGATAATGGTGTACAAAATTATGAATGACACAATGATGTAAACAATGAAGAGGATGGTCCAGTCCTTGAAGACGGGTGTGTGAAACCAAAGCAAAAATATATGGAAGACATTACGAATGTAGGTATACCGATGCTCGTATGCAGCATCTTGAGATGTCGTGCGCCAAATAAAGCGCAAGGTCCGCTTGAGAAAGCATAACTGGAATTATAGGTACATGAAATATAAAAAAGACTTAGAAAACACTTAAGAGTATGTAAAAGTGCCTTATATTATAAGCACTCAGTAAACTTACTAAAAGCAGTATATAGGAGTGCCTGTATAGGATATTGATAAACTTAAAAGCTATTTAAGTACTATTTTTAAACTAATATATAATTGAAAAGGTTTTTGTATGGTCGTATATTCGAATAATTGATATATTAAAATATTCAAGTAAGTCAACCGAGCATCTAACATATCCTTTGAATCACACTATACAGATTTGCATGTCTAGTGTGTGGTTCGCCATAATATCAGAATCTAAAACTATTTTATTAGATAATAAAGATTATTATTATTTTAAAAATTTTCTCCTCTTCTATTGGTCTCTTTATTATAATTTTATCACTGATTATTCCTAGACATAGACTCCAAATATTAGCTATTTATTTTTAATTATATATTGACTATTGTACCAATAAGTATTAGTAATCCGGTGTGCGGTGCCTGAATATCCATTTACTACACCAACAAGCGTATTTCTGACTGTGACGCTCGTCACAGCACATATCTGATGGAGCACGTGCGTCAACCTCCGGTGTTTTATCTGTGCCGACCAACCGTTGGCATAATTCAGAGCCAGTATAACTTCAGCAGACAAGAAGTGGTACTAAAAAAATTACGTAGTATGTATTTATGTATAGTACATTCAGATTTTTTAACCCGCGCTAAAAATCATTCCTTTGCTCCTTGAGTAATTCTCCACACTCAGCTATGAGCCATTTTGTATCGGTATGGTATACACACGCAGGTTTACCCATATTCTACTAGTCTAAATATTCTGTAATGTATACTATTCCTAATTGAACCTATATGTGTTCTAAGATTCAAATAAAAATTCTTATCATCTTAAATGTATTGACTAGAGTTAAACTTTATAAGTTGTCTACATGGGTGCCTCTTTCTCACTTAAAGCGTTCTGTTAAGCGTCTTGCTTTGAAAACTGTAATGGTAAGGTTTATATACGGCAGTGAAATTACACCACAATTACCATAGTGGTTAGTCAAATCAATCATATCCAATATAATTCATGTACGTATAATGACAGACACCTATGATAGGCCAAAACTATCGTCAATTCCGAAAGTAGTTCGAACCAAGAAGAACTGACAAGAAACTCTGCCTTAACTACTCTCAAATGTACTCATTGTACATCATTATAAAAATACACAATTTTTAAAACTTAGTTTACATAATTCGATAATGATTTCGCCATCATAAGCTAACTAAGCTGGATTGATCCTCATCATTCTATCCTCCACTGGTACAACAATAGCATATGTAGTTAACGCAGGCACAAGCACTATTCTATTACCAGCTATTAAAAATGTGTATGCTAAATCTTCTTCTTATAATGAAAGACCCATACTCAATGAACCAATAGCCTATGATTGTGATGAAGATAACGTCCTTAGCATGAACAGAATGGCGACATATATTTTTAATAGAAAATAAACGGAGTCTGCAATGTCTAATAAATAACAATCCACACCCAACGCAGTGAATACTATAAAATCTATGCTCACCGAGATTTAGGACCGAGCTTTCTATTATGTGTTAATACATATTTCAATGGTGCAATAGTGTTTGTAGACGGTCAGAAAGCATACCTATCTACACACTGTATTACTATTTATTTGAATCTATTTACTTTGCAGAAACATACAACACTAGATACTTGATTAATATTGTTTTTGTAAGGGATTAAAGAAAATATAATTCATAGGAATCTGGCAGCTAAATTCTTAGAGGGCTCAATATACATCCCTGTGATACACCATGTTAAGGTTTATTATGAAAACCACAAATATTAACATTTCAGTCATATATGTCTGACGTTAAGAAGTTCTACATGAGCCATGTCAGACATATATGTCTGACGCTAAAAAGTTCTACATGAGCCATGTCAGACATATATGACTGACGTACGCGATTTGGTAGAAGGCCACGACAATTCCAGATGTCCGACGCAAACGATACATTTGCTTATGTTTCGAAAGCTTGGCCTATCAGGAACAAAACCTGAAAATTTCTTGGCTTACTACAAATAATAAAATGAAATAAATGAACGTCAGACATAAGATTGATACGGCTTGTCGAAAAAAAATTATATAGGGACATGATAGTCATATAAAATAGTGTTTTTTCCGGGAATATTGGCAACAAAAGTTCTGTGACACTTTAAGTTTTTTTGTTACATTTTTAACTAAATTATCTAATAAAGTTTACTATAATATGTATGTATGTATAATATGTATGTATTTACAAAAAAAAAATCTATGTATATGTATCAGCAAGCTTTCGCTAGTCCTAAGATTAGATTAGATTAGACAAATGTCACGGCTCTAGTTTTAAAAGCACACAAATATACGTTTTTAATTAAAACAAATGAAATAACTTTTTTCCTAATACTTTATTTGTTTCCTATCCAAATCAGGATATACGTTTTTTTTTGTCAAAAAAAGTTGGCAACTCCACACTGTCCTACACTTCATGGTCATTAATAAAGCATTATTAAAAAAAATCGGTCCTACAGTATTCTCTTTTAGACTCCAGTACCACAATCCTGATGAGTGAAAATTACAAAATGGTCCTTTTGTGATTTTTTCTGGTACTTTAGACTGCATTGTTATATCATATATTTCATCATAATATACATATTTCTAATCCATAATATAATATTTAAATAAACTATAAATATAACAATAAAAACAAGTAATTAATATCATAAAGCCTAATTTGATAAATTGACTAAATATTCTTTTCTTTCTTAGTTTTTATTCCTCATAAACATATATTTTTTTTTAATTTATGCAGTCTTATAGAAACATTATTTCTTTTAATTCATTCAGTAAGTAAAAGGAATGGGAATAGCAATACTGACATATAGAATCTCCTTTACATAGTATAAAACAAAGTCGCTCTCGCTGTCTGTTGACCTTAGATCTTTTAAACTACGCAACGGATTTTAATACAATTTTTAGCATTAGTTATCCAAGAGCAAGGTATATATATATACACCTGTAGGAAGCCGGGGTAAGTAGCTAGTTAATATATAAAATAAAAGATTGTAATATTTTTATTTATTTATTCGCTACTATTTAACAAGTATATCTATTTCTCACCTTTTTTTGAAAATAATGTCTGCAAGGGTTTCAAAATTATCACTAAAGTATAAAAAGCGCAAAATATAGTTAATAAATTGACCATATCCGGCAGTGGAACCCAATTAGCAAAGACTTCTTTACGGATCCCGAGAATGAAACAAACTGATGATGCCACGAATGCAGGTACGCCGAGGATTACGTGAATTCCTCGGATTATGCTGCTGCAAGAACTGTCTTCTGTACCAAGGTATGCCAGTGGACCGGTCAGAGCAGTAAGTGCAGCCAGACCGCCTGCTGCCAACCCTGAATGGAAAGTTATTATTCAAAATATCTATAGTAATTTTAGGGAAATCATGAGATCTTGCTCGATCCCATAATCACAGCTAAACTGAAGAGTGGTAGATGTGGTGATGGTGGTGATGGTGGTGATAAATAAAATGCTGGGCAGGCATGTATGGAAGATCATGGTTGTAACGCAGCTGATTATGGGGTACTCAATAAAAAAATAGTGGTACGATTGATACTTTTAAAAAAAGTGTCATAATTAAAAAAGTATATCTTAAGTCATGTAGATGTTTTTTTTTTATCTCACTATAATGACGAGGAGAAAAATTGTAAGGAGCTCTGTCGGCAAAGATCACAACGATACCATACCACAAGATATACCATCACAAAATCCACGACCACTCTGCCAAGAGTGAACGACAGAGAAGATAATGACGAAGAATCTAATGGTAAGTGGTATCTACCACCTATATACTTAGACAGCAACGAGTACATGATAGCGTGATGACGTCATGATGTTACGAATATATTCAGAAATCAAAACTACCGTCATGCATCAATTTGAAGTTTGCTTTGATGTGAAGTTTTTAACAGTGTTCGAGTAAGACGGGTTTTTTATATAACAGGGGACCAACAAGCGTGCGGCTCACCTGATGGTAAGTGATTACCGCCGCCCATGATCACCCGCAACACCAGGGGAACTGCAAGTCCGTTGTCGGCCTTTTAAAAAGGAGTAAGTTCTTTTCTGGTAGGTTTCAATATCGTATTGGTTAAAATATTATGTTATATTCCAGGATAGGGTACAGGGTAATCATCACAACTTGGTCGTCAAGAATGGAAGGTAAGGAATATACTGCCATAATGCAAATAACGGCCTCACCGGTCTAATGGTTTAAAACACCGTCTTTTTCGGATTGTCGCGAGTTCGATTCCTCGGACTGTAGAAATATTTGTATTCAGGAGTATAGTTGTTTGTGTGGTAGAAAATACCAACTAAGTAAAATATAGATTATATAAACATGGTACTAGACAACTGATATAAATAAATAGAATTTTTATTGTATTTAAAAATTCTATATATTTATATCAGTTGTCTAGTACCTTGTGTTACAAAATCTATATTTAACTTAGGTCTAGATAGTTCTTTGTAAATTATTCTGTGTTATTATTATTATTCTCTCTATCATCTCACTCTCTCAGCTTTTTCTGGTTTTTTCCATTTTATTATTATTATTATTACTTTTATTATTTTTCCTCTCGAGTTTCGCCGGTAATCTTGGTATGTACGGGCCTAAACCAAGTACAGAACAATGTTCTATTTCTAGGTGAATATACTATATATGTAATTTTATGTTATCTGTGCTATAATATGAATGTTGGCCTAATCTGTTTGTAGAAATTTTCTAACAATGCGGCATGAGTTTAGAACTACAGCCTTCTGCAGCTGGCGGTATATATTAGGGGGCAAGTTGAGGGTATTTATTGACTGGTGCATCTGTTTCGGTATGACACCTGTAGTTGAGAGGACGATTGGTACTATTGTTACTTTTTGTAAGTGCTAGAGTCGGTTTATTTCCGTTTGTAATTCTTTATATTTTGTTATTTTTTCGGCTATCGTATTATTATTATTATATTTTAACCGTTTTACGAATTTAATAGTAAATTGATGATAGTACATATTGCCTTGACATACTCATAAATTAGTTCATTTTCTAATTCGTATTCTAGATATATCATCATTGCCTTGCCTTTATCCCATTATTTGGGGTCGGCGCAGTATGTCATTCTCTTCCACTGCTCTCTATCGGCCGTCATATCTAACCATACTCTTCTTTTATTCATATCATCTTTCACACACTCCATCCATCTTTTTTTGGGCTTTTTTTTTCCTCTCCCTTTCCATCCATGCACTTTCTTTAAGACAATCCACTTCCATTCAGTCGTCATAACATGCCCATACTTGCAACTAATTAAAACAAGATTCAAAATTAAACTTTCCTTCTTTTATAAATAGGTTGATATTAGCTTACCAGCCATAGAATGTGTGGTGAAGTTAAATCCTGCCAATAAGACAACGATGGCTGTACCGGCTCCAGCACACGCCAGCCCGCAGAACTGTATGAACATGTGTTCACCCTTCCTACCAGATACTTTCTGGGGGACCGCTGCACCGTGTAGGTAGTTTAGGATCAATATTCCTGATGGAATCAACAGCTGGTACTGAAACGGAAGAAAAGGTCTTTCCAATCGCAAATTATATCATATATATCATATATGTATATTTGACGACCTCTGTGGTCTAGCGCTTTACGTCCGATGGTCGCGGGTTCGATTCCTCGCACGGCACAAACATTTGTATTCATGAGTATGATTGTTCATATTCATAATTATTCATCATTCATAAGTATGTGTTTCCTATGTGTAATATGTATGTATCAGTTATCTAGTACCCATAACACAAGCTTTAGCTGGCTTAACTTGGGTCTAGATGGCGCTGTGTGAATTGTCCTGAGATTATTATTATTATTATTATACATATCTTATTTTACAATAAAGTATTAAAAACAAACTCTGTGTCAATTTATATCGCTGGATGGTTCTTAACAGTGAAATTACAGATTAAATCTCCTTAACCCCTCAAACTTATCTACACTTATCTATTTACCACAAAATGCTTCGCAAGTAGTTTAGCCTGTTGGTTTTCTTGAGTTTCTTGTCAGTTCTTCTCATCTCGAAATCATTCCGAACTGACGGTAGATTCGACATTTCATAAGAGTCTAATAGACCTACATGAATAAAGATATTTTGATTTGATTTGGCGCCTTCTATTAGATCTACAGTCAGATTATCTATCATTACTTTTAAAGAAGATTAAAAAAAATTAAACATACCCCAATTGTACATAAAGCTATATGCAAAATATTGTGAATTTCTCCTTTAAAACACAAAGTGTAACAAAGAATGGTGAATGTGGTTGCTCCCATAAACATATTGGCCAAGGTGATACAGGCTGCGTACCAGAGCCTCTTCCTATATTCAGCTTTGGGTATATCTACCAGAACTATCTTCACGGGCCCCACAAACTCCTTAACGGGAACTGTATCTTTGATACATTCTAGATTGCATGAATCCTCTGCAGACATTAGAGCAATAATAAAGAATTTTAACAATATATTATTATATCAATAGTCATCAAAAACCTATGTTTTACGACATTTTTACTACTATTCTTATTGACAAATAAATATGTCAAAATATCAAATTACGTTTAGACTAAAAAGTAAACATAAAACTGAAAAAAATTGTGGCAGAATGGACTCTGGTCGTTGCATTACGGATAGGCAAAATAAAAAAAAAAAACAATAAATTCCTAATACAATGAAATAGCAAATACTAGAAGCTAAGCGAAATCTTTTAAGTAATTCTACAGTATAAATACTTATTTTATATCTTAAATATGTCAACAGGATGTCTAGCCCGTAGCTTAAGGCCGACAAAGATCCATAAATAGATAAGATAAATATTAAAATTGTCACTCTTAATGCTTGAAAATTAATACTTTCAGCCAACCAAATTAAAAAAATCAGAATAAACTCAATGTATCCATAAATTTCTACTACAATTTCTAGCATGAATGCGTTTTAAACAAATTAAAATAAACGAGAAGGCTATTCATCCAAAGCCGTCGCAAAGCCACTATACTCAATTCGTTATGGAATGGTGCGTGTCACAAGAATGCAAGTTACTAAAATTTAAATAATTAACGAAGATTTTTATATAAAACATATTATCTGTAGGAAATTCTCTATTTGTTATCTAGTTGTGATTGAATTTACATTCCAACCATAACTTTTGCTGAATATCTAGGAATAGTGGAATATCTAGGAAACTAAATACATTCAAATGTTGTCGACTGTCACCTGCACAATGCCACAGCGTACGCATTATAATTTCTGTCTATGGTTTCAATAGTAAACCTTTGTGTTCATACATTAATCATTCGAATTTCGAATTTCTTTTTTGAATTTCGAATCGAGTTTGCTTTCCACGCGACATCGTCGACAAGGGATCGCGCCATGTGTACGTTCTGGATCCGCTTTTTCACGCTTCTGTAACTGAATTACAAACACACTTTTTTTTTACGTCCATTATGCTCTTTGACTGTATAGATATAAAGTTTAAAGTCATGTAAATAGAGAGGGAATTAAATTTGGACTGAACGAGGGCCGTACCGGCCCTTGGCTCAACGGGAACATTGAATTCCCTTCAAATATTAATTGTTCGACAAGCGTATTCAAGACTTTTGCTTTTTAATATTTCAGCTAATGAATTATGAATACTGCAGTATTAATAGCACTCGGTATAATACTGGAATCATGTTGAATTTCCATTTACGTATTTGTACGGCCATTTTTTTATTTTTTTTTCATTTAAAGTGAATTAGAATGTACGTCATCTAATTTCGCCATTGTTTTCTACACGCGGATTCCGGATATTTTTGTTCTTTTTTTTTTATTGGAATTTAGAATTCTAGTGATCAATCAAACGGTGAATGAACCACTTGATGGTATGTGGTAACCGTCGCTATATATAGTCACAGTGCCACAGATAACACTAAATTATTAATTTGTAATAACTTTTTTTAATATATTCAAATATTTTTTAATTATTATAATAATACTAGGAATCCTGCAAACTTTGTTTTGACATGAAATCGCTATTAAAATTAGGGGCTGATGGTAGAACGGTGAAAATTTCGGGTTGTATGTATTTTTAATGTCATATTATAAAAAAATGTCGAATAAATAAAACAAATGTTAGGGGTGGACCACCTTTATCACTTAGGGGTATGAAAAATAGATAGTAGCCGATTCTCAGACCTACTGATGATTCATGCAAAATTTCATAAAAATCTGTTAAACCGTTTCGGAGGAATATGGTAACTAATGTTGTGACACGAGAATTTTATATATAAGATAGTATATGAACCTCAACGAGTAATGTTGTAAATAATTATAAAATATCAAATTTTATATTAAATCGTAATTATATACATTTATTGAAATGTCGATGTTGAAGAACAGAAAGACAAATGACTATCGTAATATAGAGAACACGGCGTTGTATATTTGAGCTAGCTTTTGCCCACGGCTTGGTCGCTCGTCGTTCTTAAGTGGTGGAATTTATCAAAATCCAAATAGAAAAAAAAATATTGAATATATTTCTTATCAGGGTATGCCTACGTCATAGTAGGTTTATGCGCTCGACCATAAGTCTCAGCCCGATCGGTTTAAAATTGACAAAGTTTCATATAAACTTTCATCCCCTATTTTATCCCCTTGGGGGTAGGATTAATCAAAATCCTTTCTTAGCGAATGCCTACGTCATAACATCTACCTGCATGCCAAATTTCAGCTCGATCCGTCCAGTGGTTTGGGCTGTGCGTTGATAGATCACTACGTCAGTCACCTTGAGTTATATATATTTAGATATTATGAAATGAATTATTGAAGATGTTTTAATTATTATTTTTGTTGGATTTTCCAACATATATTTCTACTACATATAAACTTTATATAATCTTTGCCATTTGACAGTTTGTGTTCAGATAAAATTCTTAAAAACATAATTCTGAACAACATCTATTTAAAAGAGCAACACACAAGTTTCTTGCTCGTTCTTCTTGTGATGAGTCTGCGATCCGAATGAGTGGTAGAATAAAAAAATATGACCATTCAAAAGTGTTTATAATAAGTTTATTTCAATAAAGATTATTTCTATTTTTAAAACATATCAAATTCAAAAATCATTTATTTATGTAGGACATTTTTTAATGACATTTTAGCCGCTTTTGAACGTCAAAAATCTTGTATTAATACTTTTTCCCTACCGTTCAATTCAGTGTACAGATTCAATTGAGAAGAATATGCAAGAAACAGATTATAAAATATGTAGTTTAAAAAAATATATAGCCAGTATTTTCTATTTAGTCAGTAAGTCAGTTAATTTCCGTAATTAAGGTCCAAAGTCTTTACTACATTAATATAGATTAGATACAGATGTATGTATGTACTAGAAAAATAACATGTTTATCAGTTATCTACTGCTCATATTACAAGCTTCACTTTATTTTTTAAATATATGATAATAGAATAGAATAGAATAAAAACTCATTTATTCAAATAAACTCAATTTAAGCACTTTTGAACAGTCATAGTAGTTTTTTTTAATCTACCGCTCATTCGGTAAGCTGTCTCATCACAAGAAGAACGACCGACAAACTTGTGTGTTGCTCTTTTAAACAATCCTTCTAAGTTTACATTTACAAGTCGAAACGTGTGAATACAAACTACCAACCAGCACTAATTTATTTAGGTTAAATATAAGTACACAATAAGATTAAATCAGTCGTAGTCATGTAATGGTGCACCCGCCTGCGCTAACGGTTTCCGCTTTCGAGACGGGGCACCAATGGAGGATGATAAGATGAGCTTGAAGTTAGTTTGCCTACCTACAAATGCATCAGGAATTTATCATGATGGTTTCCAGGGACCACATGGAGGTGAACTTGACATAGTACATTACTAATAATCCCTAACACCTACCCACCCTGTCTTAGCCCGGGTGTACATGTATTATACATATAAACCTTCCTCTTGAATCACTCTATCTATTAAAAGAACCGCTTCAAAATCCGTTGCGTAGTTTTAAAGGTTTAATACATAGGGACGGACAGACAGCGACAGCGACTTAGTTTCATACTATGTAATGTAGTCTATGGTCAAATTGAGAATAGATTAATATTGTCTTTAATATTTGTTTATAGTCTTATTGAATGTTAAATAAATTATGGTAATTTTTTTTTTATAACACAGAGGACAAACGAGCATGCGGCTCACCTGATGGTAAGTGATTACCGCCGCCCATGAGCACCCGCAACACCAGGGGAATTGCAAGTACGTTGTCGGCCTTTTAAAAAGGAATAAGCTCTTTTCGACCACTAGTTAATAAATGAATCAACAATGATAAAACAAACAACTTTAATAATTTGTTAATTCAGTTCATTATTTAATACAGCCACAGCGAACATTTAACGACGACAAAAACCACCCTGGACACAGCCCCGAGCTTTGTTTTAATGTTCATTCACAAAAGTCATAAGCCCGCCAAAATTACTTCCCCTCTAAGATTCGGCTGCTTCTATATTACCTTTTATTACCCCAAAGGTACAAGAGTTTGCTTTTTTGACGTATAAATACAAGTAATCGTAAAAGGAGGTCGTTGTGGAGGGGATAATGTGGATAGCCTTGCTTATAAAAGCTCCAAGAAAGCTCTTTTAACTTAAACAAAGTTTATGGAAACGTGTCGTCGTACTTTATGCAATCCCTCGTGAAAGGTTGGGGATAAATCAGTTATGAGATTGGGTTTTTAAATATTAATTGTAAGATTGCCAATTTATTTTTTTAATTCTCAGTTACATTAATAATTTATTTATTTAAACTTTTATGCACAAATATAGATGCATATAGCGGACTTAACACCATGAGGTATTTTCTCCCAGTCAACCATTAGGCAAACAGAGATCTATGTGGGCAGTGCATTAAAAATAATAATAATAAAAAAAAATGTAGGTGTACCATTCAAAATAACAATTTAAAAAAATAATAGAATAGAATAGAATAGAATAGAAAATCATTTATTCAAATAAACTTAATTTAAGCACTTTGAATAGTCATAACAATTTTTTTTTATCTACCACTCGTTCGGAAAGCTGTCTCATCACAAGAAGAACGAGCAAGAAACTTGTGTGTTGCTCTTTTAAATAATCCTTGTAAGTTTACATTTACAAGTCGAAACGTGTGAATACAAACTACCAACAAGCACTAATTTTTGGGTCAAATATAAATACACAATAAGATTAAATCAGTGGTAGTGATAAGAGCAGAGCAGTCCCTACAAGTAGCACTCGTTCACGAGTATGATGGATAAATATTAAGCCAGCCATCACTGCGCATTAATAATTCGACCATACTTTTTTTAGAGCCCATTGACCTGGTATTTTCCCACCACGCCGCCACATGTCTGGATTATATAATAATAATAATAATAATTTCTCGAAAGCGATGAAAATGATATAACACCAGTCACACCAGGCACACAATAAGTACACACACACTCACACATAC